AGGAGATAAGGATTGCTACAAATAAAGGGGATGATTATCCTAATCCTATAATGATTAGGATAACTACAACATATGGATAAATACAAGGGACTGGACGTGTGGATAATGATGAGCTGCTGGCCGCCTGGTCTTGGGACTGAAGTAGACTGATGTGGTCTGGTCCATTTCCGGATATGTCCCAACCACCATTTCTTAACAATTTATACGTTGTTGATTTTATATATGGTAAGTAATGGAAGAATTTATTATAACTTACATGATTCGAGGGCTCAAGAATCCACCGTACTCATCATCTAGAGCTTGAGGGATATCCCAATGGTAGATAGTTACAAAAGGTTTTATTCCTGTGTATAATTGAATATATAATAATCAGAAATAAGAGAAAATTTGAACATCATTCTTTAATATTTATATATACACACTCGTTTGTGCATCAGTGCATATGATTCTAACCGTTCTTAATAATTTCGTTAATGAGATAATTGTAGAATTGAATTCCTTCGTTGTTTACCCCATCTCTTAGTTTTCCACCTGAAAATTCAAATTTTGAAAGAACAACAAATGATTAAGTATATATATATATACACATCCATGCATGCATAAAGACGTAATTATGAAGTTATTATGCCTCAAGTAAAATTCAAAGTAATACTTACTTGGTAATATTCTTGACCAAGAGATGGAAAATCTAAAAGTATCCATATTCATTTCCTTGATCAACTTGATATCATCCTGCTCGCACAATACGTGCATGGAAAACTTTAGTTAAAATATCCATATCAATCTCAGGAAATTAGCAGTTCAGTCTGCAATCTACCATCTCTGGAAGCAGAGAAACAATGTGTATCATAATAACTTCAGTATTGCTCCGACGGTAATTGTGCGCATGATATACAGAGAAGTCAAGAACACAATCTTAGCTAGGAGAGATAGGAAGAAATTTCATTCTCTTTTGTCAAGTTGGATCATATAATCCATTCGATCCTTAATCATTGCTCTATTTTGTTTTTCTTTCTTTTGCCAAGGTAGAGTATCTCTTAGATTAACTTTTTGTAAAATCTAAACACATCATTAATATGATATTAGCATTCTTAACAAAAAAAAAAAACTTTAGTTAAAAGCTAAAAGGCACGTTGTTCACAAATTAGATTTTCACACCTACTTTTATGTCCACACCTACCTTTTTCAAGAATTTGTTTTAAAGCACGTTTTAAATAGGTTTTGCTGTGGCTAAACATATAAAATATTCCCTCCGTTTCAAAATATATGTCATTTTAGACTTATTTTTTTGTCATAAATTAAATGTCGTTTTAAAGTTTCGAGATAAAATTTATTAGTTTTATATAATATTCTGTTTTTTTATTGGTTGAAAAGTGATTAGGTGTATAGGTAATTATGTTTTTATCTTGGAAATTTGTAAAATTAAATATTTTCTTAATCTGTGTGCAAAAACATAGAATGGCAAATAAAGTGAAACGGAGGGAATAGTAGTTACTCACGAAGCACATGTAGAAAAGACTTACAAAATTCGTACCTTATATCGATGATAAAAATCAACGGCTATATCTCCATTTTCCATATTCGTCCTCTCTGTAAAGTTTTGTCGTGTTACTTTCAATTCATATAAGCAAAAAAAAAATAATAGTTTATCAATTAATGAAGACAGATTGGTAATTAGTTCTCTCAAGTGACCATAAAATTGTTAATATTGATTTAATATCTTAGTGAAATAACAAAGGAGATAGATTAAATGTACACCTGGATATGCATGTGTGAAGTTGTCCCAAATGCTGGGTGTCCTCCCTCCTTCTGCGACTGCACCTTCATACTGCATCACATGAAAGTAAATTTAGCATGAAATATATATTAGTCTCACTTTTTTCTAAAAATCGTTATGCAGTAGATAAAAGATAATAATATTATTGTTCAATGTCATAAAATTGTTTAAGCAACACAATTACATAAAAACCACCAAACCTGATATGCTGAAGAACCAACACCAAAACTAAAACCAGGAGGAAAACTATAACGATCGAGTTGTTTTGTCGGAAATCTAAGGGATCTCCCCTTGGAAACAGCGCATGCGACTAGAAGGAGTGTGACTACAAGTGCAAGCTTAATTGCCATTTTCTTAGCCTAGTCAAGAAACTTATCAAATGAATACTCTGAAAGTAATTAGCGCTCAATGGTACTCTGAGAAATGAAAACCCATGTAGAAGAACTTATATAGGAAGCGGAAGCTAGGGCATAAACGTCCACTACAAGAAAGTTGATTTTATCCACAACTTAGCTACAGAAATTTTGTGGCTGTGATTTTTAAACTACAAGTAGCCACAAAAATAGCAACAATTTGTAAAATCAAAAATCAGTAGCTATTTTGTAGATCTTTGTTGCTAAATAGCTACACATTGTATTTTGTGGCTATTTGTAGATAGTAAGTCACAATTAGCTACAAATTTTTTTTGTGGATATTGATATTCATTGTTAGTCACTAAAACAATAGTAAATTATATAGGATTACTGTATTTTGTGGTTATTTATAAAAAATGTCAACCTTAATCCTACTCTAAACCTTAAGTTTTTAAATTTTTATCATAAAATTTGATATTAATATAATTAAAATAAAATCTAACATTAATAATAAATTAGGACAAAAAATATTTATCTCAAATTCTAAACCCTAAACATACCCTAAACATCAACATCCACTTGTAATATATTTTAAAAATGAATAATTGTAGAAATTTATAACTAAAACAAAAATATATCACTTTCAAAAATTATAATCTCACTAAAACAAAAGTATATCACTTTCAACATGTTTTCAAAACTGTGATCTCACACCTTGTATCTAATCTACAAATTAAAGTCCAAACCCTACTTCAAAACTCCATCTCTTAACATAGTTTCAAACCCTATTTGATTTTTAAAGTAGTGATTTATATTATAATTTTAAATACATAATAAATATATTTTCAAATCATTAAGCCTTAATAACCGGCCGATCAAATAACTTATGTTTATATTGTTTTAAAATATTCTATTTAATAATATAACTTTAAATATATTAAAGACATAGCAACAAATAGCTATAAATTAGTTTGTAGATATGTAAAACTTAGAAAGTAACCACATAATTTTTAGTTCCCGGGTTATTTTGCCGCTAAGTGTTTCCTTCTCAGGTAAAAGAATTACAAAGACACGGGTTAACTCACAGCCACATAATTTTGTCATTAAAAATACTAAACCTAATATGCTTGTTTTGTCGCTAAAGCCAGCTTCTCTCTTCCACTTAGCCGATCTATCTTTGATCTTTGATCTTCTATCATATATCTTCTTTCTTCTCTCCTTCTCACTATAAATTCTTCGTCCTCTTACTTAGTCGCTATATCTTCTCCCCTCTTAAGTAGGCGCTTCGTCATCAGGGACAGCTAACCGGAGGCGTCAAACTCGGATTCATCCTGGAGTGACGAGGCCAGCTACTTCTCTACTTTCCCCGCCTCTTTCTGCTTCTTTGCAATCTGCTTCTCAAAGGTGAAGTTCCTCAGCCTTATGAAAAAGTTTTAATATTTTATTTTTCTTTTACATTACGAAAGTTGCTCTATTTTCCTGTCAAGAGAAAGGTTTGTCCTTTGATATTAATATTGAGTAGGTTAAATACAAATAATCTTGGTGAATTAGCAGCACAGAGGATGGGAGAGATGACTTTCTAACTGATCCCTTAGGTAATTGTCTGACACGTATATGAGAAACGCCCTTGCATCTTTCCAAAATGTGAGTGTATGGTTGTTTCCTGTACTTATTTTTTTGCATATGTATATTTATTTTTATGCTATTTTGTGTTTATGCTTTTAGGATGGTATCACACCTTTACAATGAGTTTGTTAAAGCTATACAGGGAAAAACGGTCGACCGTGACCATTTAATTTTTGGAATCTAATTGCATTTGGTAAGATCTATATACAAAAATTGCAGTAACTAGTTATTGATTAAATGATTCTCATTTCTTTTCCCCGACTCTAAAGCTTGGTACTTTTTACAATGGCAATATGATCATAGAGAAGATGGCGAGAAGCTTGTGGAGATGTTCAAACACAAAGTAATGCTAAAGGTAAGTTTAATCTCCTCTCTCCATATAATCTTTAGGCTACTGATTAGCTTCTGATTTATGCGATTTTGATTTACATCACTAACATAGAGCGACCATAGGAGAGGCCAGACTAGTTCCTGAAATAGTAATACTTTTAAGTAGCCGAGAGGAGACAGAATTGATTGAAAGCAAGGATGAAGAAGAAACAAGTCCCGAAGGGGATTGGTATTGATGTAAGGATATGCGGTACATAGACAGCTCGAGGCCTCCGGTCAAGCTTGCGATGGCCAAGAGACACTAGGCGCAGAGAATACACAGTCAGCCTATTTGATTTAGTTTTTTTCATGAGGTTTAGCCTTTAGGTTTGGTTAACCAGTTTATTATTTATAAACCTTTTTGATTTGTAAGTCATATTGAAACGTATTATTGTAAATAAAATAATTTGCATTCCAAAAACAATTTTTTTTTTTAATAAATAATTTAATTTGTGTTTTTGTACTGTTTTGGTATTATTCTTTTTATTTATTGATTAATTTGATCTAACAAAAAAAAATCTGAAGATTGCTACAGCTATATATATGTGGCAAATTGCGGCTCTAATAGCTACAAATCTGATTTGTTGATGTTCGTAGCTATTAGCTACAAATATCGTTTGTGGTAAACTTGTAGAAGAGGAACCACAAGTAGCCACTAGCCACAATTAAACGATAGCCACGAGCTCGACGCTACAAATTTTTTGTGTGGCTATACGTAGCTATTGATCAAATAGCCACGATATTTAAGATATAGCTACAACTAATTTTGCGGCTAAAAAAAAACTTTTCTTGTACTGGTCGACACGGAGTGGAAATATTAAACTATGGAATTAAATAATTAACTAAATTTTGACCTCAAGCGCGGGTTTTGTTTCGATTGTAACAAAATGTATAAAATGATCCGATTTTTATTATATGATAGTTTTATATGTGAAATTTGATGTATATTTAATGTTTTAGTAGGGTCTTTTCATTTATTTTGCATAACCGAGTCAGTTTGTGGTTGAACAGAGAATCAGAAAATTAAGTGTTGAGAGAGTTTGAAGAATTAAAACACATATTAGATTGAAACCAAAATTGGATGGGTCCATGACCTATAATAAACTTGAAAATCAATACTATTAAAAATACCCAAAATTGTATTACAAATTTGTAGTTAAATCCAATAAATATGTTAATCGAATTATATAGTTTATTTATATTTCGATAATTTTGTTTTGATTCGCGCTTGAGAAATTTATAATAGGTAGGAAGATTAACTTTATACTATTAACCATAAAAAAAATTTTTATGGTTCCCACGAGACTGAACTCCAACTTATTCTTTTGTTTCTCACCACTACACCCTATGGTTTCCAGATCACCCAAGTCTTGAACTTGTCCAATAACATCTACAGTATAACCTCTTTAAATTAATAATCTATAAATTAATATCTCTATAAATTAATATAATTTCATAGTCCCAAATTGAATTTTTGATTCAATTAATATCTCGATAAATTAATAATCTCTATAAATTAATAAAAAATTTAGTTTTGGTATAGTCCCAATATTATTAATTTATAGAGATTTCACTGTAGATAAAAATATACTCGTGTTAGATAGATACACAACAATGGAGATAAGTTATAAAAATGAGAGAAAACTGACCAATAAAAAAATTATTAACATTTATGATTCAATATAATATAGTTTTAAAAATAAAAGAATTGTTCATAAATATAGGGAAGAATATTATCATTTAGGTTTTGATCCGCGCCTAGAAAACATTATCATTTTGATTACACTTTTACAAAATGAAGATACTAAATCATAAATCTATACAAAACGATAAACTTACATTTGCATCACAAATGATTAGTTCCATGGTCTCCCCTATGTCTTTCATGAAATGTCTCCATGCATGAAAGATTTTGACTTGGATGCGACATACAGTATTCCTCGGTTTTATATCACGACAACTACAAATTATTCGCCAGTTTTGTTTTAAGTTTTTCAGTGAATTATGAATATAGTGGTTAAAATAGGCTATATTTATAATAGGTATGGATGATATACATTTAGGTTATGCAAGTGTAGGAAAGAATATTTAGACGATTTTAAAAAAAATATCTCTCTCGAGGAATAAGGAATATTTCTTGAAGATATTTTGAATAAGTTAAGAAGTTTAAAGTTTAACAATTAATGGTAATACAGCTACGGTAAGTTACCGAAATTTATGGAAATCAAACAAAGAATAACTAACCACGATATTGATTGTGGTTAATTTATAAACTTGTAGATGAAGTAATTCATTTATTTTAGTACGAAGATAATTATAGAAAATAGTTTTTGTAATATTTTCTTAACAAAACGTATCTCATCCATTAAATGTCACCATGAGAAAGATGATATATCGACATATGAAGAAAGATAATACGAAAATATTTGAAATTATCTTGCATATAACAAATTTAGTTATTATTCAATAACAACCTTAATATATTATTTAAATATTTTAAAAATCAGATATCAAAGATATTACCAAGATCTTTTCTAATATTGCATTTTGACAATATCTTTTAATATCTTTTTTAGTAAAATATAAATATTTATTGTTTTAATATTTATTTTAAATAATAGAATTTACTTTTAAATATTATTACAACTAATTTTAATTCATTTGGATTTATTAAATAAGAAATACCATTACTATAATATTTCTAAATACGTTATTCATATTCATAATTAAATTAGTACAATAAATAATATATATAATAACTTAATTAAAATTATTTTATAAACTATAAATTAAAAGAATTACATATTCATGACAACATATATTCATAGAGTTTACAACATACTTCAATTTATTAATGCAAAATATTAAAATATAATTTAGTATATTTTTATTTGATAAAAACAATATTATTTTTTGTTGATTTTATTATACAGTATATTGAATTATATATTATGATTTAAAATTACAATTTATTTTATAATAAATATTTATGTAGTCAATCT